CAGTGGTTAGAGCTTGTGTTTCAGAACGAGAAGGTCCTGGGTTTGATTCCACCTCCAGGCCTTTCTGTGTGGAGTTTGCATGTTCTCCCTGTGTCTGCGTATGCATCCTCCAGGTGCTCCAGTTTCCCATACCTTGAAAAAAAATGTAGGTATGAATGTAATGAGTGATTCTTTGGCATCTTGCTTCTGTCATCAACTGTGTGGTGAGAGAATGGAAAAATATCTGAATTCATGCTTTGAGTGGCCTTTGTCTGTAAAATGCATTATATAAATACTTACTTATTCACTAATATATTGGTCCAGTCAATGTTGGTTTAATCAGCTAGATTGGTTCGCCCACTACCAAGAGAAAATGTTAATATATTTGATCTATTTGCACTAAGTTGCAGTAAAAGTAAAGTAAAACAGCCTTTCCATTCCAATGTTGATGGAGAGAAATGTGCCGTACAGAAGTCCCTCCCAAAGGCTCTCCATCAGGATTAATGAAACAGCCTTGCACCCTCTGCTGGACCCTGTTCACTGGCCCGAGGATTCATTTTTGCAGCTTAGCATCAAGACATGTTGATCGATTCCAGATGCCAATGTTGTCAAGGGCCAAGCTTCGGAGCGCCCTGGCAAATACAAGCGTCTGGACGTGTTTATTGATGACAAAATGAGCAATGACCCAGATAGAGAAGGGCAAGTGTGTTGATATTACAAACTGTGCTATGAATAAAGATCGGCCATTCTAGAGTGATCGATCAGTCCTCTACAATTTTAGAAATCAATAATACTTTGTGAGAGACTTGTTGATCCGTAGGCCTGTTCTCAGTCATCATTGAATCAGATTGTGGAGACTACTGTACAGCCTGTTACCCAGTGTGTTCTTACAAACAAGGTGGAAATGAAAACATATTTGTTTTTGTTTTGCGTAAAATGGTAGAAAACTTAAAATAACTGATTTTCTCCACAACCATGTAGCTTACTTTATACAACAGTTTTACAGTTGCAAAGGACATTTCACACATTATTCTCCAAGTGGCCAGTTTGCAGAGAGGAGGGTGTTAATGGCCTCTCATACGCTGTACCAAAGCTGCTGGAGCGAAGAGCCCTAAAAGCAGAAACACTATTCAGACAGTCAAAAAGGTCACTGCCCCAGGATGGGATGTCTGGGTGTATTTCTCCTCAAGTGTATCAAAGAAACACCAGAAACGGCAGCACCAATCTATACTGTTAGACAGGTCTATGTTTGACTATTTTTGCCTTTTCTCTAAAGAAAGTCTTTATCTCTATGGCACATTTTACAGACCAAGGTCACACAAAGAACTTTACCATTCTTGCTGTAAAAGAAAATCCCCTTCTCCCCACGTTGATGACAGAAGCGAGATGCAGCCCGCGTAAATTCAGGCTGGTAAACTTTCCAACAACTAACCCTTTCCCAGCCGTGCAAGAAGTTTGTTTTGGTGTCATATTCGTCTGCACACGCCTCCCAACCACCGCCTCCTCGACCTTTGCTCTCATCATAACCTCACTGTTATGCCACGGTGGCTGAGTGGATAGCACTGTTGCTCCTCAGCAAGAAGGTCCTGGGTTCGAATCCCAGTCGGACCAGGGCCTTTCTGAGTGGAGTTTGCATGTTCTCCCCGTGTCTGCGTAGGTTTCCTCCGGGTACTCCGGTTTCCCCTACCACTAAAAATATGTCCAATAGTTCTGGCATGCGCCTCCTGTACTGGCGACCCCGCTCCAATCTCTGTGTGGAGTGTGAGACAAATGCCCAAAAATTAACAATTTTAAACCGCTTTGAGACTCAGATCTGCAGTGAAAAGGCGGTATATAAATAAAGATTACATTACATTACACTGTTATGCCACGGTGGCTGAGTGGATAGCACTGTTGCCCCTCAGCAAGAAGGTCCTGGGTTTGAATCCTGGTCGGAACAGGGGCTTTCTGAGTGGAGTTTGCATGTTCTCCCCGTGTCTGCGTTGGTTTCCTCCAGGTGCTCCGGTTTCCCCCACCACTAAAAACATGCACAATAGGTATGAATGTAAATGAGAGAGTGAATGGATGGTGTTGATTGGAGCTGATGGTCCAGTGTGTTCGGCGACTCGCTTCCGTCATCACCGTGTGTGGAATGACTGGAACAATATCTGAACTCTGAACACTGTAAAGCGCTTTGGGTGACCTTGGTCTGTAAAATGCACTATATAAATAAAAATTACTACTTACATTATCAAAATAATAGTTAATCACAGCTCTAATTTTACGTTCATACAGCAGAACTTTACCCGGTCAAAAGGTGAGAATTGCAATAATCTGTATTTGAGGGTCTGTTTTGTTTTAGTTTTTTTTTTTAGACCTGTCTATAATGTGGTCCATGGTGTATGTATCTAAGAATAGTCATCATTAGGAGTGTGCTGAATTGAAGTATTTTTCACTAAAACAAAGTCTAGATATAGAGTTAAATGGCTGAAAGGAATGATCAACTAATAAAATACGGCATACGGACAGAAATTACGTGCAAATATGATGATGTATCATACTTACGAGGGAGACAAGTAATCAAGTAGATTATATATGTCCAACTTAAATTTCTTGAAAACAGAAGCATGGGGTTGAACAAAGCAAACTCTTCTTTTTGTCAGCGAGTATACACAACCACCATCACCTGTTTTTATAGTGCTGTAATTGTAGTGTACTGTAAATGTGACTCAATGTGTCAAGTTTGAAAATTGCTTTGTGTTTGCTTTGTGATTTTTCAAGGGCACATTCTCGCTCCATCTCTCTTGTACCATTATCCTTCACAGGAAAAGGCATGAGTGGAACAAAGCAATGAGCAGGAAACACACATGATTGAACATTGTCAATACAATAGAATTTTGGGATACATTTTATTTCTGAACTCTGCTTTTATGTAAGTTGTCTCGTTTTTGTGGAGTCGGTCTCGTGTTGTATCTCGTTTCACGGAAGTGCTTTTAACACCTCTGCTCTCCAAATCATGTGAATGACCGCAGAAGGATGGATTTAGGAAAGAGAGACTCAAAAAGGTGGCTTGAAATCTTGATACACCTGACCCACTCTCCCCACACCCTGCATGACCTCGTGCATGGCTGAGCAATGCACCATGGGAGCTCACAGGAGTCAGCAGGGAGGCTCGGCTTTTCCAAGGACATGAGACCTTTTATAATCTGAACTGAAACCATTTTGTTGCAGCTACATTTGGACCAACGTGTGGCGTATCCAGGTTATTTCCACACCCCACTTTTGTCTAGAGAATGTCTGAATGTATGTGTAGTGCAATTTGCATAATCAGAAACCTTTGAAAGCAGCTGCGAGACTGTTTTGTCAGAGAGAGCATTTTAGTTGAGCACATCTATGTACAGAGCACATACACATGTCAATCATGTGGTGTCCTGGTTGGACTAGTTCTATCAACATTATTAGTGCAACATGCTTTTCCCTTTGTGTCTTGTTTTTGTGAATGCGACAATTTCTTCTATAGCCTTGTAAAAGGATTTTTGATTTGCTCTTTCTATTCCACATCTTTATGCGGTCAGAATAGTCAATGGGGCACCTTACTTTCTGCACTGCAGAGTGCTCATTGACCCAGTGATTACCCCCAGCTACTTGGGTAATCACAAAATCTGCTTTTTCCCCACACTAAATGATCAATGTGTTTCTTCAGTCATGCATCGGACCGGTCCACGTTCAACGACCACTGGTCCACGTTCTGTAGCTTAGGTCCTGGATCTATAGCCCGTCCGTCCGTGGGAGCGGATCCCTTTCTCAATGTGTGGGTCTCCCCGAGGTTTCTCACTTTTTTCCCACTGGGTTTTCTTATGAGTTTTTCCTTTGCCGATTCAGGAAGGTCTGTTGGACAGTTAGTGTCTAACTAGAAGGACTGTGGTGATGATCCAGGACACTTTAACATTCTACAACATGTATGGACATTTTTCAACATGTCTTCTATGTTCTTTATGTGTCTTAACTGTTGATTCTCTGATCTGTGTTGGTGATTTCAATGGTTTTGTTAACAAAACAACTCAGAGGACTTAAGTCCTCTGAGATGACTGCTGCTGTGATTTAGGGCTATACAAGAATAAATTGTATTGTATTGTATTGTATTGTGTGTCTATTATAGCTTGCTTTTTCAGCCTTTTCATACCAATCTACATTGGCTTTGTGATGCAATTGGATTTTCATTCTTTTTTGATTCAAACAAATGTATAGTATGTGCACAGCCATGTGACATGTGCTGTACATGCAGAATAATAGTATGTTTAACATCTGCCCACCATTAACTATAACATAGTTAAATACTAGGATTCGAGCAGTGTATCTAATAATATTCTGTCGATAGAAATGTGGCTGAATCCATGGTTAGGACAAAGGATTTTTGGGGGGATTAATAATTTCTTCATTACAGTGTTTATTTGTCAATGCAACACCTTATTTATATCTGAAAGCAAAGTATGTTCTCATTTGAGAATCATTATTGATCACCGGAGAAGGTCAATTGATTTTCCACACTACAAACCAGATCAGCTAAATGTCATGAGACGGTAAACCAAAGAGAGGCAAACCCTGTTTACTAAGGTTTGTTTACTAAGGTTTGTTTACTAAGGTTTGTTTACTAAGGGTTGTTTACTAAGGTTTGTTTACTAAGGTTTGTTTACTAAGGGTTGTTTACTAAGGTTTGTTTACTAAGGTTTGTTTACTAAGGGTTGTTTACTAAGGTTTGTTTACTAAGGGTTGTTTACTAAGGTTTGTTTACTAAGGGTTGTTTACTAAGGGTTGTTTACTAAGGTTTGTTTACTAAAGTTTGTTTACTAAGGTTTGTTTACTAAGTGTTTGTAAAACAGGATTTACAGAATATACTCATTGTTTGATAATCCAATGTGTTACAAAGGAATAACAAGATGAATACATTAAAAATATGTAGTTTTATTTAATGTTCTGTACATTCTCATCACGGCCATGTGTACCAGGACGAGGCTTTCCAGTCGGACCACATGACTTTTCCATCATGTGAAGGCTCGTCTCATCCTGACAGATCCCCTTTCATCTGTCTCTCTGTAGATCTGCTCCTTTGTTTTGGACACCGGAAAGTGCTTGAAGTGATGCCTGGGGGTGAAACACAGGAGTGCGGTGCCCAAACTCACCAGATAGCCAGTGCACAGCCTGTGTTTGAGAGTAGATCGCAGCTGGAGTCCAGAACCTTCTGTGGTCAGATGCCACGCACCTGAAAGAAGCAAAGATAAAACATAATGTGATGTTTAATTCCAGATAAAACTCAACCCAGCCACATTTTCATTTGATGCAGAGATTTGCCTAGTGTACAGCATCTCCACTGTAGCCTGGTCGTACCACACCATAGTACAAATTACATTTCGTACTAAGGTCTGGAGGTGCTCCGTTGAGCTCCGTTTACAGATAGGAGGGGTTAACTCCTTTTGCAGATTGAAACGATTGGATCTGAGTTTACCGTGACGTATGTAGTGCGCCCGAGTCTGTTGTTAGCATTTAGCCTAGCCATCTCCTTTGCTGCTAATGTCAAGGGGTGCAAAATGGGTGGTGGGTTTTAATATAGTTTATTTATATTTTATGCATGTCGTGTGTGTGTTTTTAATATTGATTTTAATTTGCACCACCTGAAGCACCCCGGCTCCCCACGTGACAATTAGAACACCTGTGCCACGGTACAAAAGGAGATGGGGAGGGGGCAGGAGAAGAAAAAAACTGAGAGGGAGCCAGACAGGGGAGCCAGGCGCGGCGGGTGAGAGCCCCGTGGTCTAGCGGCCCAGGCCGTGGAGACGTATTTTAGCCTGTTTTAGCCTCTGTTTTAGCCTTTTTTTAGCTTAGATTTTTATTGCTTTTATTTACTTGTTTTTAATGTATTTTATAATAAATTGCTTTTAATTCGCTTTTAATCCAGTGGTCCTTTTTAAATCCGGGTCCGAAGAACCTGTTTTTACACTTGTGACACTAACGGAGCCCGTGGGGAGTAGCGCCACAATTTTTTCCAGCGATTACATTTGCTAAACATTACTCTTGCTCCTGCTTCAATTTCTTGATAGAACCAGACTGGATTACTTTACTATCGCCCTTCCCGTTCGACGCAAACTCTTGACATCACTCACAACTAACTACAACACCTGCCATCTGCGCTCTCTGAACGGTCGGTCGAAATTCAACCGATTGTAATCGCTAACCCAGGGACCAGACCCAGACGTTACATGCAGTGAAATAATGATTGAACGGCGTGTACAGATGGCTAAGGCCAGGCTAGCCCCACTGCTGTCAGACTGTATAATAAGTCACTTCATGACAATGCACTAGGACTGCAAACTTGCCCTTTTTTCTCACTTTTTAATTGTTCATATAATACCTTTATTGCACATGAGTTTGATCTTATCTTTGAAGAAAATGACAAAATCTGGGATCATGTTTTTAATTCAGACAGAAGACATGTTTTATTGTCGGTTGTAGAGACAGCACGAACAAAGTGCAAGTGATATTATACAGCATGGAGGAATGGAGCCCGTCCAATCAGCATTCGCCGCGGTGCCAGTAACTTCAACCTTGAGATAACCAAAACATGTAGTGGAAAAGTACTGCCTTGTGCATTTTTAGAAAGATGAGTTTAACTTTAACCACAGTTACTTCAAAGTGTCAGGAAATCTCTAGGTCTTATCTCATATCGTATTCATTTATTTCACAATTGTGGAAAATTAGTAAGTCTCATGTGGTGAAATTAATTAGGAACCCAAAATGCAGGAAAAAGGGTATTTTCATTTTTATTTTAATCAAATAACAAATGAGCCTTTTATTTGATTAAAGTGTAATTTAATCAAATAAATCCAATGTAACGTCAAAACCAGTGGGGGCGGGTCCCAGCTCAAAAGTGGCCAAAATGACGTGCTCTGACATGCTGCAATACCACCCCGGGCCGATGGGGGTGGACCCAGAAGTAGAATTAGCCAATGCTAACATATAGAATTGGCAGACCTCTCAAAAACGTCTTTACAGGATGGTCCAAAAGTTGGCTCTTGGCCCAAAGCTTCGTTCCACATGTGTGTCAATGCTGAGGGGGGTGGATTTTTTTGGTCCACTCTAGTTTACTCGCTGTGAATTTTTGAAGTCTCTCGTTCAAATGAATGGAGCTGCGCCGGCTGACGCATGCGCAGATGCGTTTTTTCACAATTTTCTTGTGGGCGGGACCACTCGTGGCCATTTTGAATTGCTCCAGTAGAGCAAATTTTTTGGCCCATTAGTTAGAACGGCGGAGATAGGCGTGACTCTGTCCGTTAATATTTACAGTCTATGGTCAAAACACAAAAATCCAGAACAGACGTGGTATACAGTATAGACATGGGATGGACAACAAGTGGGGAAAGGCACAGGGTATAAATACTAAAAGCCGGTTTGCTATAGTGGTGTTTTCACATGTGATCCACCCGCCCCTTCTGCACAGAGACAGGAGCTCAGTGTAAGCCCTGCTCCAGCATGTAGCCAAGCGCTTCAGCCGATGCCAAGCCGAGCCCCTTAATAACCCCACCGCCTCAGAGCCAGACCTGCTGCTGCGAAGGACACAAATGTGATGGTGGCCCGGGTCGAGGCATTCGGACCACTGCCTGCTCGCTGTGGAGGAGGTGAGGCGGACAGATTTGGACCAGACGTGCTCCTGTGGTGAGGAGACGATTCCAATAGCAGGGTGTGATGGCAGTAATGATACTTTTGGGTTAGCTAATGCTGCGGGTGAGTCATATGGTGCTGCCGATGGGAGGTTTTTGAGGCTTGGTGTGCAGTGCATGTCAAATACTAGTGCTTGTTTATCTATTTCAATTGTTTACATGGCGATACACAGCGTATTACACATTTCACTACTTTAATGATGATAATAATTCATTGGTTTTATATAGTGCTTTTCTGGAGTCATGTCATTATTCTTGCACTCCATACACGGTGGTGATAAACTACTTCTTTAGCCACAGCTGCCCTGGGGCACACTGACAGATTCAAGGCCATCAGTCTGTGCCATCCGCCCCTTTGACCACCACCAACCATTCACACACACACCAGACTCACTCTTGCCAAAGGACACAAAAACAGTTTGGCCCTTTACAGCCGTAGCCACCCCACTGTGGCTCCTGGAGGTCTCCCATCCCAATACAGGCTCTGCCCTGACGGGATCTGACTTTCGCATGCAGGTATAGCCACATACTTTACATTTTAATTTTCAATACATTTCAACTTGTTGTAGTCCCAAAAGAAGACAAAGCTCTTACATTGCCTGCTTCTTTCTTAAAGTGATTGTCTGGAGTTTGTCAGAAAGAAAGACAGAGAGGTACTTGATTTGAAAAAAAACGACGCAAGCTCCCGCCCCCTTCCTTTCTGATTGGTCTACACCTACGTTTCCATAACACTTTTAAATGTTAATCAGAGAACACATTATACACATACATTATTAATACACATGCACGGAGGTTTTCAGAATTATTTGTGATTGTGTTGTTGTTGCTTTGATTTTCCTCTTAAACATGTGGATGTTTGCAGAAATTTGAATTTACTTATTCAAGATATCAAGCTCTTGATCAACGCAAGTTTATTTGTATGGCACCGGTCATACACAAAGTCACTCAAAGTTCATTAAAAGGCACAATATATTAAAAAAGTGAAGATACAATCCTTCAGTTGTATGCAGAAATAAAGAGAACCATTTTTCACCTGGATTTAAACATTGAAGACTGTTCCATCTATATTCCTCTATACAGTATGTGAAGCCTTATACCTACTGTATATAATTCCACTTATTTAATCAAATCTTGAAGTACAGTCCACATTGCAACACTTGGATATAAAGAGGCCTGTCTACCACACATGATTCACAAAAGCGAGTTTGCAATCTCCCACAGAATACCTCCACTAACTCTCTGAATGGGGAATTTCTCGAGATAAAAATCATGCTGTACTATTATTCAGTGATTTATTACAGACACCACATGACTTTTGCTCTCCACGACGTCCGCCCAGGCAGGAGAAGGTAACAGAGTGATGGATGAGGCGTGTGGAGGCCGTGGACTCTCTTCTCGTCCTCCGAGTGTGAAGTGAGCCAGGCTGAGTGGGAAGAGTCCGCCGCTCCGACCACAGCCACAGCCCACGGGTAAGATCTGAAAGTAAGGAACTGGAAACTACAGTATTCCTCAGCTTAGGACATTCATTTAAAGTGGGAGTAATCAGTGTTTTATTCAATTCAACTGTTGCAGACTATAGGTACAATTTAAAAATATACAGACAGACAAGACCAAAAACAATAAAACAAAATTATAGAGCATTCAACCAACCATTATTATAAACTATTATTACTATTATTATGCAAAATTCTAAATTGTTGTACTCATTATGCAAAAGACATGCAGAGATATATACCTGTTTATTTTTTATGCTAGAAATGTTTTTTTTTTTTCATTTAATTTAGTATAGACTTATTGTTCTTTAATTTTGTGCTGTTTGCTCCTCATTCCTGCTGTTCTGTAACTGGTGATGCAACACTGAAATTTCCCCACTGTGGGACAAATAAAGGATCTCTTAATTTTAATCTTAATCAACAGGAATATTCTTATTAAAGTAAACAAGATGCTGTTTTAATCTTAGAAAACATGTTATCTTACATCTTAGAGTGAGAAACGGTAGATTAATTAGACTTTCTGTGGTTTGAAAGTCAAAGGTAAATTGGAGGATTTTCCCACATTTTAGGAAAGAACCGCCCTCTCCACTTTTTGAACAAAACTCTCTGGCCTTATTTGACGAGCACGTATCAACAGAATGATTGACATCTGGGAGGACCAATAGTCTTGATGATCCACCCGGAAGTGTCCACCTAAATACCTGAACATTTCTCCAGTTTGAGAACAATAATGTCTGTCTTATAATGTCTCTTTTTAACTCTGAGGTCCTCCGTCTATAGAAACACACAAATGTTCTGCATATATATACAGATATTATTCCCATTAGCTCAGCCTCAATACATTCAATAAATAAACAAAGGTTAGAACAGCGTACAACATCCTGATGAGAAATGTTAATCTTATAATAATTTCATGCATTGTTGATCTTTTTGGTTTAGATTTTATTAAAATGCTCACTCAGAGGTTTCAATGTTTTTTCCTGTGCTTTGTTTCGAGGTTTATAGAATGTATTTTTGTGCTTTTTATGCACTTCAAAAACACTGCTGTTTGTCCTTGAACTATTCATTTGCCTGTTTATTTTCTAAACCGCCTTAGCATTAGTAGAAAACACATTTACAGTATGTGCACTTTGAGATGAGAAGTTGTCACATTTTTTTACATATGGGTTTTATATCTTTTTTTATTGATCAATCAAAGGATTTTCTGATCATAAACAAGACTCAAATGTATTTAGTTTTCTTGTTAATCACACATAGCCACATACACGCGCACACAAATAGGTTTACACACACATGCTTGCACACACACACACATACACGCACACATCTCTGAACATTGTGAAGCGCTTTGGGTGACCTTGCTCTGTAAATACCAAGGTCTTGGTATTTACATAATATATACATTTATATACATAATATAAATGTATTATTATGTATAATAATAATACATTTTACTTATATACTGGTTTTTTGAACACTCAAAGATGCGTTTCACATACTTTACGATTTACCAAATTACGTACATATACACGCACACACACACACACACACACACGCAGGGCGACATGGTGGCTGAGTAGATAGCACTCTCGCCTCTCAGCAAGAAGATCCTGGGTTCGGAACGGGGTCTTTCTAAGTGAAGTTTGCATGTTCTCCCCGTCCTTGAGTAGGTTTCCTCTGGGTGCTCCGGTTTCCCCTACCAGTAAAAACATGCTCACTAGGTTAAGTCCTCCAGCTAGTCCTGACCGAGCCGAGCATCAATATCTGGAGTTGGGTTCCCGGGCGCTGTTACTACGGCGACCACTGCTCCTGGTGTAAGGCTCAGCGGCATCAGGATGGGATATGACATGATTGCTCTTCTTTCAGGACTGGTGCAAACATTTTAAACACAATGAAGGAACACGTCTATATATCTATGGTCCGTGTATTTTTTGTTCAATGTTTTTTTCAAGTTAAAATTGAAAATGAAATATCAAAAAATTGCTTGAATTTCAATTTTTCATTTTGACGAGGAAAAGGAAAAACAAAAACATGGCGTATGTAAAGAGTGTTGCTAAACAATACAATAACATTTGCCTTTCACATTTCTTCTCAGCACAAACATTGACATTTTCCCATTTGCCTTCATTAATGCTCCACACAAACGCCTCCATGCATTTCTCTGGTCTGCATTGAACATCCTTTCTCGTTTTGGGGAGAGAGAAAATTCCCACAGGTTTAATAGGTGTCTTTTAATTAAGCATTAATGAAGACGGAAAGGAAATGGTTTCACTGATCAATTGTTCACATAATGAGACCAGGGATTTTCTAGTCAGGAGCAGAAAGGAGGCGGAGAGCACATTCAGACAGTGGGGATTGACTCTTCAAAGCCATCCAATTTATTCTGTAATCTATCTGTAAAGGACAGTAGAGCGTAGAATGTATTTATGGACATTGTTCCGTGCACTTTAGAACTAATCTTATTTTCTTGTCTTATTGTTGCATTGGCAGCGACATAATACCTGTTTAGAAAAAGGCATTATTTTGAAGTAACGAAGCCCTCTTATTCATGCTATAGGATTCAATGTTTTTGTGAGTGTGTGTCTGCTGCCACCTGCTGGTCATACAGCTCTCCTTGGGATATATTGAGTAAGATCACAAGAATGCATATTGGTGTGTGATAAATTATTCTAGAAATTACTGAATTTGTATTTTGACTTTAACAGAAAAAAGTGTTAAAATAAGGTTAAGCCTTTTATTCCAATTTTTATTATTATTTATTTTTATGTCTGCCGTTTCAGCGTTGGTACAAAAAATAAACAAAAAAACACCATGGATTATTATTAGTACAATTGTTGAAATCTTGCATCCTATTAGTGACTGAATGTAGTGCACTTTTCAACCACCAGAGGCCAGTGTTTACCACACAATTTTGGCAAGCGTTTGAAGGAAGTACATAAACAAATACACATCCAGTTTAAGTTACTGTTTTAATTAGCTAAAGTTAAATCAACGTTCTTTTTCTACAAGCTGCTCCCTCTCAGGCTGAGATTAAATGTTTTTGAAGTATTTATGTATTGGTAAAACTAATTGAGTGTGACGTGATGCATTTCTCCCTTTTCAATCAAACGCAGAAGGCTCGTCTTTCATGCCAGGGATCATATACATGCCTTTGATTATTCCAGCAGAGCGTGCATCTTTTCTCTCCGTCCTTATTATACATCTGGTTCACATATGGAACGGAAAGCAAGGATTTCTTTCCCTCCGACGAACGATACTTCTACTGCATCACCAAAGCCCTGCTGTGTTCTGGATGGTTTTTGATACATACCTCTGCTGCACACATGGACAACAATCTACAAAGTTTAGTATTTGATTTTCCCTGGATATTTGCCCAAGAAGTGGTGCATACAGTTATGATAGAACAGTGTATGAATGTGCTCGTGTCTTTGGATAACACTAATAGGTCCTTCGGAGTGAGCAGGCCTCTGCTCAGGACTTTTTATGACTCTGTGGTAGCCTCTGCCATTTACTACGCTGCCGTGTGCTGGGCCCCGGGCAGCACAGAGCGGGACAGAAGCAGACAGAACAAGCTGGTCAGGAGGGCCAGCTCCACTCTGGGCTGCTCCCTGGACTCTGTGGAGGAGGTGAGGGACAGGAGGGGGCTAGTCAAAGTCACCTCCATCATGGACAACCGCTGTCAGACTGTACAATAAAGTCACTTGCACTAGGACTTTTAAAAAAACCCTGCACTATTGCCACTTTTTATTGTACATAATTTATCCTGCATTTAAATGTTTGCACACTTCTTTCTTTGCACAATGTTTTTTCTTCTTCTTGTGTGTTTCTATCCATGCCAGATGTGACATGTACATTTCTCCTGTGTGAGATCAATGAAGTCTATCTTATCTTATGATTACTCCAAAAACAAAAGCAGAGGGACTACCATCCAACACAAAGCCACTGGGTCTGGGTCCAAATGGAAGATGCCAGGAAGTGGAAATGTGTCTGCTGAGACATAGAAGGGGATTTTACAATCTCATTCAGAAACAATTAGGGATTTAGTAAAAGTCTTCTTTAATTGGCAGTACTCAGATAATATGATTAAATACTTAGTAAAAAAAAAAGTCACAATGAAATGTCTATTTATTCTTTGTAAAGTAGGATTTATATTTCAACAGTGTCACAAATATACCATAAAATGTTTAACAGGAGTAAACATGATTATTAAACAGATTATTTGATGCAGGTTTTATTTGTTTTTTTAATTATCTATTTTTATACTTTGTGAACCAGCCTATATGTTTAGTCTCCTTTATCATGTATTTACTAGGTTCATAGACATTAACAGACAGGACTGAAACAAATATTATTTTACACTAGCATGCTTTACTATGGCATGTTCAACCTTATTTAAAGCTATTTGAGGCAAAGCAACCACATCAATGAACCCAGCATAAGTTAAATTGTTGAATTGGCAGTTTTCAGACACATCCATTTTATGTAATTGTTGTTCAATCAAACATGCTGTCATTTTTGTTATTATGACCGTTCGTTTTACCCTTTTGAAAGAATGCATTTACCACACTAACAGAGAACAGATTGAATCATGTTTGTTTTTTTTGTTTTTTGTATGTATTTAAGCTTATGCATCTCATAAGCCTAAATACATAATGTAAATGTATTTGTAGATTTGAATGGAGTCTTTCACAGACAGGGTCAAAAAAGGGCTTCCAGCAAAAAGCAATTCACAGTTTAAAATGTACATCTAAGAAAACAGGCCAAGACAACTCAAGGACAAACGGCAACAGTCCGCAGCATGTTTGTATTGCCCAATAATACAGTTTAATAATACATTTTATTTATATTGCACCTTACATTTCCACAAAACTGCTACAAATTATATTACAATAAAACAACATCAAAAGTACTTGTTCCCTAACACAAATCAAAATGAATAAATAAATGCAGAAAGTTGAGTCACATACGGCGCCTCCCTGACCTGAAACCATTTAATTCATCAATCATTTATATTAAAAGTAATACAGCTTGTCAAATACATTAAAGCAGAAAGGTTTCCTCTTTTCATCTTCAATCACTCAACATTGGCTTGAATTAGAAAATGTTTTATATTTGACAGTTTTGACACCGGAACAAGAAGCTTTAGTGTTATTTCAAACGTTGTCAAAATCACCATAATGAAAATTCTTGATTAAAACTTTTTTTTAGACTTTGTACATTTTTTTATTTTTTATTTATACATTCTGGCATTGTGTACAGCCACAACAATCTGTAATAAGTCCAAACCTGAAGGCAAAACAACTGTAGAATGTTTTAATTTTATTTTTTTCTATTCTATGTTTATTATTATTATTACTATTATTTTTTTCATTTATTCATTCATTCATTTTCTACCCCTTTATTAATCAATTAGTCCAAAAATACATGCATGTGAAAATTGATGTATTTGATCGTTTTGAGAACTAGGATTGCAAATATTTCATATCTTTTCAAACTTCCTCCAGGTTTAGCATGTACACCATTTAACACATTTACTTAGTCAGGGAAATCCCATCCGTCAAAACAGATATTAGAAAACGCATATATGTCTTTTTGCAGATATGAACTCTCTCCGTTGCAGTCTTGTAAAGTGCCGGTGGGCAGACATCAGAAGCCGAGCCTGATTTAGAGCCTGGACAGTTATAGATGTTCTTCAGCTTTCAAGAGCAATTTCACCACAAATAGGATTAAAACTAATGGCGTTTGACACGTAGCAGGTTGAGGTTTATCGCGCTGACATTTGAAAAGGTTGGCCTGTGTGCAGCGAGCCACTAAGAGATGCAGAGCTGTGTGACATATAGAGCACCTAAGGGACCTGTGCTTTTATGGTCAGCTGAAAGAGAATGGCCCCTTTCCTCAACCGTGCGTCCTGCTCCTGCACTTTGTTCCATTACGGCCGCTTTTATAATAAACACCCACCTACTGTACACCGACGCATATTTCTTAGAGTTTGTTTTGTTTTGCTGTTTCTGTGCATTGGATTGCTGTTTGCAGGGGTGGGAAATAATGATTTGATTACAGATACTTATACAAATAATAATGATAATAATATTAGCGCTTACACACATTAGTCCAAGTTCAGTCCAAGATGTGGAGAAACTGGTATGGCTGTCTTTTAAAGTCATGACTGTTTGTTTGTTATTTCTATCTTAGTCATGTCCATAGACTGTATATGAGCTCTGCCAAAGCAATTTCCAAGTGGTGACTTTTGTTACTTACGTGGCAATAAAAAAATATTCTGATTCTGATATATATTAACGGAGTCACGCCTATCTCCGCCGTTCTAACTAAAGGGACAAAAATCAGGCCGGGGCTGGAAAATGTGAAAAAACGCATCTGCGCATGCGTCAGCCGGCACGAGCCCCATTCATTTAAACGAGTGACTTCAAAAATTCACAGCGAGTAAACTAGAGTGGTCCAAAGAAACTCTCTCCCCTCAGCATTGACACACATGTGGAACGGAGCTTTGGGCCAAGAGCCAACTTTTGGACCATCCTGTAAAGACGTTTTCGAGAGCTAAGAAGATGCTATATGTTAGCATTGGCTATTTCTTCTTCTGGGTCCACCCCCATCGGCCCGGGGTGGTATTGCAAGCATGTCAGCGCACGTCATTTTGGCCACATTTGAGCCGGGACCCGCCCCCACTGGTCATGACTGTTTGTTTGTTATTTATTGTCTTGTTTGCATCTTTTAAATCGGACCTAGAGTCTGTATAGTTGATTGATTGCTGTAATTATGTGGTGTTTTCAAAGAATTGTAAAGTGAAGCAGGAAAAAGTGAACTACATGAGAGTTATGCAAAAATGAATAACAGAATTAAATGAAATAACAATATCTAATGAAAACGTTTGTGGGAAGCCAGGTCACTGAAGTGTTCTGAATTCAAGAGATAATATTGACAATCGGCTACTAAAGGGGTAGTAATGTCATAGGTTGTGTTCATGTGACGTCACAACAGTACTTATATAACTGTGTTGGAGAGCAGTAGAAACAGTATTTTTGGGTAACTGTACTTTATAGCTTTATATCTAATTTCCTTCACAATGTCTTTGTAATCCCATGGGCCAGACTAAAACATTATAGCAGGTTTATGCATCTAATTTCTATCAAACAATAATCTGGAAAATAACATTTCTATCAAAGATTGCTGATCTCTCCTAGATGTGTATTGTACCTTATTGAACGGAACCTAAACCTTAAGATAACAAATTTGAGTCATGGGAATTTCTAAATGACTATCTCTATGTTACCTTACCATAGCTGTGTGTGTTTAAACAATGATGGATATTTATACTATACGCGCTGCTTGTTGTACTTTTTACTTTGTTATTTTTTTGGCGTATATTTGCAAAAAAAGGGAAATAATCCAGATCATTTAGTAGCATACAAATAAAGTTTGACCCTTTCTTGAGTAAATCCACACACACATTTATTGTCAACAACAAAACATGGGGACGATAGTAGCTCGAGTATAGCACCTCCGTTTTTGTAAATCAACTGTTACATTTTGTGTGGTTTTTTTAGCCTTTACTTCTCCCCCTTACAACATAAATAACCCCAAAAAACTGTGCAGTGAATACAAATGCTAAAAAGTTATTTTCAGGGAAACTATTATCGCAGCCGTGGGTATATAACACTCTGCGCACATGAGATGGGTTCACTTCAGGAAGGAAAATTAATCCAGAAAATGATTTGCTTCCTTTTTCGCCATTTAATTTCATTTTGTATAAACAAGACTCTTCAAGGTCAGTAAATGAAGCGGCGTGTGGGGGGGGTGAATGGAGCCTGTTGCCGCGGGGATAAGGAGCCATTAAAATGTGCTCGATCTGTATGTGCTTGACCTGAATTATAATTTTAGCAGCAGCTTTCTTTGCAGCATGAGTTTGCTCTTGTTCTTTTCAAAATAACCTGCTTGCCTTGCCTCGTCAAGTATGTCCCGCTGTCTGGTATGAATGTTTTTTTCATTACTTAAAACTGGGCTACAGACATTTTTCTCTACTAAATAATATATGTTTGTTGTCCCAGACCCAACGGATGAAGTCTTGTAAAAGTAAAATGTTGTTAACTTATCAGTCCACAACATTCTGTCTTCATATTATTAGAAAATGTTACATGGTTTTATACTTGAGCCCCTTTTCTGTCTGAAAAAGCTGATCTAAAGATGTGGCTTTTAAACCATTCTGATGTTTTTCCCTTGATTTTTATGAATTGTAAGTCAAGTTTTTTTTTTCAAAGTTTTATATATATTATGGTTTGTTAGTAGTGATTTCTATTGATCGAGAAGAAG